CTATTTTAGCTATCAAGATCCTGGTGGATCATAGTAAAATTACTCGCACACATCTTATCCCTGAGGCTAGTCATTCTTTCATTTTTTGCAGCACTCCATCGAAAGGTAGCAATTCAGGTGTCAGTTATGTTGCAACATTTCAAGCAATGGATCAAGTGTATGTGTACCTGTCTTGTAAGACCGCATACCTTTGATACGATAGATCTCACACATCCTGCTGTGCAGTTACCAGAAGAGACTGTTATAGAATCGGTAGGGCTTTTTGCCCCACAAAAGTTACTCTATAGCGAATTACTTCTCCGTTTCAGTATCTTCAACAATGCTATTATGTGCAATCGGTAATGTTATACCCTCCAAGTGGAGCTATGGATGCACCGGTAAGTAAAGACATTCCTGAGTTCTTGTTATGGTCATGGAGATCTTTTTCAGAAGTACACTTTGATTCCAAGAGCAAGCCAGTCATTAAAAACCTTCCAAGAAATCCCCATGTTGGTCATTTTCTTGTATCAGCACCACAAAGCAGGAGTACAAGCCGAGGTAGGGGCCAGCAAAATCTTCCACAAAAGCTCGAATCTATCTCGCTCTGAAATTTCTTTCCTCATTTTTCAGGCCATGGAATTTCTGCTTTGCTGTCTCGACTTTTTGAGCATACAAATATCTGCTGAACAGAAAGCGGATGAGAAGTATAACAAAACTCTAGCAGATGATTTCTACACCGCACAATCGAAAATGCTTGCTTACCTGAGCATTATGGGAAAGATACGCGAGGTAAGATGGTGAAAATCTCTGTTTGTGTTTTGCCAAACCTTTTTGTTTCCTACAGTTTATGGAGCAGATCTTGGCAAACGGTGATAGATTCATCAACGGTGTACTCAGCCTCCTAGAACAATGTCCAGCCGAACTGATTGTTGTGAGAAAGTGAGTTACTTTGCGCAACGGTGGTTACTTTCTCAAACTGAGAATTTCCAGAGATGTCTTGATCACACTGAAGTTTTTCTTCATCTCTGATCTCCGCCCAAAATTTATCCAGCTTCTACCTCGGTTGCTATCTGAAGTCGCCCTTATCGGCTCTGGATATACAGCAGTGGATCACTTGAGGTACAACATCGATAACATTCTGTACAGTGAGAAAATTTCTTTGTATTGCAGAGGT